CCCCCCAAAAAGAACTGAACTCCAGTCCTGTGTAAGAACACCAAACACAGGCTGGAGAGATGGCTCAGAGGTTAAGGGTACCAGCTGCTCTTCTGGAGGTCCTGAGTTCAATTCCCAGCAACCACATGGTGGCTCACAGCCATTTATAATAAGATCTGGTGCCTTCTCCTGGCATGCAGGTGTACATGCAGACATAATACTGTATATATAATAAATAAATAAATCTTTAAAAAAAAAAAGAACATCAAACACTCTTATCCAGCAACGTTTCTCTGTAGCCCCTAATTGTGTTTTTGTTGTTGTTTTTGTTTTTTGAGATGGGGTTTCTCTGGGTAGCCCTGAACATCCTGCAACTCACTTTATAGATCAGGCTGGCCTCAAACGCAGAGACCCAACTGTCTCTTTCTCCCGATTGCTGGAATTAAAGGCATGCCATCACTGCCCCACCTTGTTTTTAATGAATGAATCAATTTATTTATTTGGGCAGTCTGCATATGTGTGAAATGACAACTTGTGGGAACTGGTTCTCTCCTTCCACAGATAGGTTCTACAGAAAATGGGCCATCAGGTGTAGCAGCAAGTGCATTTACCTCCTGGGCCTTTCACGAATAGTGAACAGAAGTTTTCTCAGTGTGTTATTTTATGGTGTCGAGGACTACTCTCTGGCCTAGGATATGCTAGAAAAGTGCCCTCCAGAGATACTTCTCCCCAGCCATGTTTTTTTCTTTTCTTGTCTGGGCTATGGCTTTTTGGGTTGCCTAGACTTCCCTAAAACACATATATAGCCAAGGTAGGCCTCAACCTTGTGATTGAGGATCCTTCCAAGTAGCTGGGATTACAAGACTTCACCATATATGCATACCCTTTGTGTGTGTGTGTGTGTGTGTGTGTGTTTCTAATTATTTATGTGTTTTGCCTGCATTTTTGCTGTATACCAAGTACATGCAATATTCTCAGAGGCCAGAAGGGATTGTTAGATCCACCCTGGGGCTGGAGTTACAGACCATGTGGGAACTTTGAATTAAATCCTAGTTTTTAGGAAGCCAGTACCCTTAACCACTGAGCCAGCTCTCCAGACTCTCTGTGATTTCAGCACTTCCCTAAACCCATTTTGCAGAACTCTTGTGTGCTTTTGGTGTATGTGTCCTTGTTCACACATTGGAATACGCATTTTATATAAAGCCCTTCTTTGCCTGAAGGTGATTTTGTAATTTAGTGTAACTTTGATGGGGGCTAGGTATATTGTGAAGAGATTCCAGTCTCCTGGATGTTAGTACTTAAATGACCTTTGTGTTGTTGGAGGCCCCCACATGCTAATTAGGGTGAGTTATACAACACATTTGTCTCTGCAGTTCTACAGGATGGGGAGGCATGTTGTGGTGACAAAAACCCTGAGGCTTTAGTAGAACTTCACAGACCAGGAAAACATCTTTTTCTCTGTCCCTAGTACCGGTCAGGCATCTACCATGTCCACTCCCTGCAAGCTCTGTGATATTACACAAAATGTTTAATGTTTTCAATACTCAGGAGAAAATATTTGCTTTATCCTCTTGGATGTTTCAGGGGGGAAAAAATTCCAGCGCTTAGGTGGCAGATGCAATAGGATCTCTGAGTTCATGGGGAGTCTGGTCCACAGAGCAAGTTCCAGGAATGTGTGGCCTGCTTATCTTGCCTCCCTAGTTTAAAGATTAAAAAGAAGTCTGAGGGGCATTCATGCCTTTAATCCCAGCACTTGGAAGGCAGAGGCAGGTAGCTCTCTGTACCTTTGAGGCCAGTCTAGTCTACAAAAAGAGTTCTAGGACAGCCA